TCTCTCTCTCTCTCTCTCTCTCTCTCGGCTCAATTATGCCTTCAAATGAAACCCCATTTATTGCAAACTTTTTGAAATTGTAATTAAAATTGTTGTTTTGAAAGCGTAACGGACTTAGTATTTAAATTTTAGGCCCCTTTTCAACACCCAATTACCCATTAAGAAAGGGTAAGTATGAGAGTTGCAGTTATTGGATACGAGCGCCTATCGATCATACGGTTGAAGTAACATTTGATGACTTCAGTTTTGGGCAACCATTTACTGGTGAAGAGAAACACGGCATCAGTGGCTTGTGTTTGGATGAAAGCGTCGAAATCAGGAATTTGGACGATATTTACAATGGAAACATGTAATACAATCATCTCATCAATCAATAATTTGTTAATTTTGTTAATTATTCGTAGATATTGTGGCGAACAGATTGAACCGCAAACTGTTATGACATCGACTCAAAGAGATTTTATAATTATTATTATAGCCGACGACCAAATGCGTGGACGCGGTCTCAAAGCTAACGTTAAGTTCATCGAAAAAGAGGAAACTAAACAATTGGACGTAAATATAGATCAAGAATTGAAAAATACAAAACTAAAGGCAAAAACACATAAATACAAGAAAAAAGCTAAAGCTTCCAAATCTGTGTGGAAATCACAAATTTTTAGTGTTCTTCAGTTAATCGACTAATAATTAGTTAAATAATAATATTACTAGAAATGATTCAATTATTATTCCTTACACTACACTCACAACTGTTTGTATAAATTATAAATAATATTCTTGTGGTATAATTGAACTAAACTTTATTAAATTAATTTCATCAAATTGTATACTGCATTAAAACGCTATGATTTGCCAAATTTTATTATGTTTTTCTTAATGAATATAATCTTTTATTATTATTATTTCTTAATTACATTATTTTTACTTAATTAACATTTCAACTATTATTTAGAAAACTATTATTATCTACAGATTTGTATGTTTTGTTTGCATCACTTCCTGTTTTCACTCATACAATATAATTACATTCAAATACTTTAATCATTTTATCCAAAAAATGTTTTAAACTTTTACTAATTAATTTTATAAATTAATTATAATTACACGTTTTTAAATATATTAATTAATACCGTGTTTTGATAAACACATTGCATATTAATATTCCAGTATTAATATTGCAATGTGTTTCACAACAAGAATTTGCCCATCAATTCAATAATCTCGTCAAACTTATGAGTGCTTTTCTGACAGAATTGTTAATTTTGAACAAATTATTATAAATACAATAATAATAATTACATTCAATTATTGAAATATAAAATATGATTTGAATTAATGTGTGGTTTTTTAAATAATCAGATAAGTATATAACAGGAGCCCAATTGGCACATATCTATATATAAGTTATAAACATATGGTTTATATTACACTTTGGTTTGACTTGACTTTTGCTTAATTAAAATTAAAATTAATTATTACCATCAAAGTTGATGATAGGCTTAAATAATGGCCAAAAACTTAAACAATTGGACAAAAGGATTGTCACTTTAGGCCGAAGGAAACTTTCAAACGTTTTTTGAATTTGTTGTCAAATTTGAAAATAATCAATATATTAATCAATGTATTATTGAATGGTTTTATACAAATAAATTACTTGACTATACATACGATTGAATAACTCATAACACATTTTTACATCAATCGGTGCTTAAAATGAGTTGAAATTTTAATAAACTATTCTTTACTAGAAATTGCAATTATGTAAAGAAATTGTTGAAATGAGTGCGAAAACTACTGTCACTACTTGTAGTACCAATTTGTATGTTAGCACTAAATATAACAATAGTTATAGCCTTCGAAACAATGTCTAAATGGTTTTAAGATAACACAGGTTTAGCCACAACACTAGATCTAAGTCTATCCATCACTAGATCTATCAAACCATGTATTTAAGGCCAGGTTTAGCTCTTAACCACTTATACAATCACTTTGAGGGCTATTCTATTGATCATAACAATTGTTTTGTATTACAATAAAAATGAAATTTTTGGCAATGACTTAATAACAATATATTAAGCTTAAAGGCAATCAAATTTTCTTTGATAACACAACCAAAAGTATAGTTTTTTGGATAGAATTACATATAAGATCGAGATTAGATTAGATTGTCGACCGATTGTAGACCTTTTTAAACTAGAGTTTCTAATATATATTTATATTTACCCTTAATTGCCTACACTGTACTGTATCTTTCAAATTGATTTTATAAATCTTATTATTATGACAATCAATCGTCAAAACCATATATTCTTGTACTTAAATGTATTCAATGAATTTCATTTTCATATTAATGTTAGATTTGTTGTAAAGAAATGACATATTGTTTCACATTGTTTAACACATTTGTGTCCTCACATTAAAGAAAACAATTAGTTTTTTATAATTATAGAAATTTTCAATAACTTAATCATTTAAATTGATGGCTCCTATATTTTATATAATTATGTATTTTGTTAATAATTTGGAAATTATTTGAACTTAAAATGAATTAACATATTTTAAAACACAAAGGTTTTTGATATAATAATTTGTAAATATTAATAATTTATAAATAAAAGAAATTTTTATATAAAAATATTGTGAAATTTCTAACATTTAAATTCTTAATTTATAGAATATTATAGAAATTGTTTAATTGTTTTTGGCATTAAATGTGTTTGTAATTTAGGACAACAAAAGCTTAATTCCTTTACTTCTTGTGATATACTTTATACACAATATGATCAATACATTTGTCTTTTAAATTTGTGAATTTATAAATTTAATTATATTGACTAAAATAACCTTTAAATGACAATCAATACAATATACAGAGATTTCATTTTCCAGATTTTTACTTTTTTAGCATTGGATTCAATTTTGCACAAATTGTTGATCAATACTCATTCATTATTACTGTACTATCGAGATATAGGTCTGAGTTTACTGTACAAAAGTTCAGAATCGCTATACAATGTAAGTATCGTTTTAAATAATTTTGATTGAATTAAATAATGTCAAACTAGATTATGTCTTCTCTAATAAAAAAATAAAATAAGAAACCAATTATTTAAATGGTTTTGAAAATTATAAGATTTGATAAATATTAAAAACCAGTGATTAAAAGAAATGCTACTGAAATACAATTTGTTTGTAAGTTATACCATTAAATATATAACTTTTTAACTATTATTAGTAATTCATTTTCCAACAAATTTGTTTGATATTAATAAAAAATGCTATTAAAAATGAATTGTATGTTAATTGATATAAATGTTCGTTTAATTAATGGCAAAATCCATGTTTTAGAGATTTTATGTAATTTGTCGAAACAATTAAAACAATCAAATGTGTGTGTATTTGACAAATGATATCATATCAGTATTTGATGAATACCTTTATAATCCAAACCATTACATAAGGGATGCATTTGTTGTTATATCTTAATTATGTATAGGTTTCTCATTTCCTTGTTTTCTATTAAAATATATGTTCTTTTATGACAAATATTTGCATCGATTTGTATTTACTTGTCTTTAAATATTTTTAAATATTTATTATGAAAACCACTGAATTGAAGGAATTGCTATAAAAGAGAATTTAATCATTTAATTAAATTAATTAAAAACATAATTTAATAAAATTTTTAATACCTTTTAATCAATTTATAGTAAAGTCTTCTTAATAAAAATCTTCAGTTCTTAATGAAAATGAAGTAAAAATATATTTATTTATTTATATTAAAAATTAAATAATAGATGATTAAGACTTCCGTCAATTGTTAATCAAAGAATTGTGAAAAATTCGGATTTGTTTTAAACAAATTATATATAAGTGCTGACCATTTGTTAGCAGATATATCGAGAATTAATAACTCTGTTATAGCCTTATAGTTAGAGATGCCTTATATCGGAGTTCACTACAGAAGAGGCACTAATTATTGAAAATTGAATGAAAGTTCTCTTCCGATCAGAAAAGTAGAGTCAAACTCATGACAACAATATTCGTTGAGATCAGTATTTGAAGGCTTTTGGAAATTTGAAAGCTATTTGAAAGCGCACTCCCTCTGCACGCTATCGGTGGGGGAGGGGGTGTCTGGGCTGCAAATCACATGAATATCAGTAATTATAGTCTCAAATCGTTAAAATATATATTTAATTACTATCTTTGATGAGTTGAGGCAAGTATTGCTGCCAAAATGCACACTGTTTTGCTCGGGGGCCCCGACCAATCTCGGTATTGTTAATCGCAAGCGTCAGATATTCCTTGCCGTGAACCGTATGGATTGGCCAATACGTGTGAGACCACTGGCCATTCATTGATATACTCGGATTGCTATGCATTACAATAATGATTAGATAATTGTTATGCCAAATGGCATAATGCTATTTACCCTGTTTTGGCAAAGTTGGCCCAATAAGTCATCATTTGTTCACTGAGTCTCCTTTCCTCTGGAGTAAACTGGAAGCGAGGGTTAAGGGGTTCGCCGAAAACATAACTGATTTCGTCTCCATGTATGGCACCCATCCATTTAGGCCATGGACTTTGGGCCGTGCGGTGTGTGAAGTAATACATATACACATCATTACCGGCGGCCGCGTAACGAGAGGCCAATTCATTGACATGACATGTGAAGTGATAATCGCCAACCATTTTGTCGACAGCGTCCCTGTTTTTAATGGTGTCTTCGGGATTGAGCCAATCGGTGTACTCGAAAATGATGGCCTCCTGACCCATACGATTCACATATGGGTTCAGCTCTTTCACTGATTTGATCAAATCTTCTCGCGTGAGATAAACGTCCTCTACTCTCTTGAACAGATCCGTTAAATAGTAGATAATAAAGTAAGTGCCCTCTTCTGTATTGCTGCCCAATAGGAGTCGAGTCTTTTTAAAGTCTTTGTTAGCCAACGACACGTCTGGCGGCTCATCGAGGAAAGTGCCGTCAATGATGGGCACGAATGGGAACTCAACGACACCAAAATTTCCCGATTCATTGCTGACCAGTTCCCAGGGATCCGCTCCTCGCAGACACTCGACCACTGCGTCCTGATTCTTGGGGTCGTGCGGACAGCCAACGGCCTCCGCGAGTCTCAGTCCTCTCAATGTTAATTCATGGTGACTGACGAGACCCCAGGGGACGGTCGGCGCTCCGCTTTGCAGTATAGCCTGACTGAACAGATGTCGGCTCAACGGCGATATCAAGTGAAAGCTAATGCTCGTCGCGCCCGCACTCTCGCCAAACAGTGTTATGTTATCGGGATTTCCACCAAAGTTATGAATATTGTCTTTAATCCACTGAAGAGCCATAATCTGATCAAATATACCCGCATTTCCCGGCGCTTCTGTTCGCGAGTTTTCAAAGAAGAGGAAACCGAGATTCGCGAGCCTATAGTTGATGGAAACCACTATTATGTTCTGTTCGGCTGCCATTACTCTTCCGTCATAAATGTCTAAGGAAATGGATCCGCTATAGAAACAGCCGCCATATATCCAAACCAAAACGGCTGCATTTGTAGGCCGGGGTCGAGGCCTCCAAATGGATAGATAGAGACAATCTTCACTGAGTTTAGTGTTGGGATTCCAGATAACAGTTCCCGGAAAGTCGTCGCCAAAAGTTGTGTCATTCAATTGATAGCAAGAATTTGGTCTTTCGGTAGCGTTGAAAATGTTAGTCCACGGATCGATCGGTTTTGGATGTTTGAACCGATTTCTGCCGACCGGAGGCTTTGCAAAAGGTATCCCTAAGAAGGCGTCCACTTTCTTGCCAGTAATGGTGTCAAGTGTTATACCCCTAACATATCCTTTATTTGTCTTCACTAATAACTTGTCTTCTTCTCCATTCTGGGAATAACCAGTACTTGTCTTATATCCAAAACTCTTGGTTTGGCCCAACTCTACAAACATCACCAGAAATACTATAAACGTCTTAAACAATACCATTATTGGCAAACATGAAGACATCCATCGTATTGAATGAGTTCTCTTTTTTTGAGTTTCACATAAATTATTCAATTGTGATATCATTTCCTGAATATTCCTCAATTGAACTGCAAATCCAATAAAACTAAATATTTTACAAATTAGTTATTTTCATTTAATTAATGATTGCTTCCGATTTCACAAAACACTTTTCATTGCCATAAGAATGTCTCAAATTCTTCACTTCATTCACTGATGATTACAATCTGAAAATTAATTAAGAATTTTTAGAAAATAATTAAACATTTATTTGATTATTATTGAAATAATTGTGAATAAATTTGTTTTGTTATTAATCTTATGTTTGCGGAGTATTTAAAGAATATTTGAAATCAATTTTTAGTTGTATTCAGTTATTATAACTAAATAAAAATATTCATTAAAATTACTAACATAAAACTTAATTACTGTACATTACATGTGAATAAACAGATGTAACACTTGTATTAAAATATAATGTTAATATTCAAATATTGTACATGGTATTTTAGTACTACTGTATCACTCAGATTATATGTTTTATATGAATTCAAAGCAATTCCCATATTTTATATATTGCTTTTATATACTTTACTTTAAACTACAGTAATGTATATTACATTGAATGTAACAAATTTTAAATATTTTGTTTATAAACAAAATTTTGTTGAAAATAACATTTTAGATATAATATTTTAAACATAATTTAATTAAGTTAAAAGATATTTTAATTAAATTTTTAGCATCTTACATTGTTTTAAAACCAATTAGTTTTACATAAATATTTTGTTTTCATCACTGGTTTAATTACTTTAAAATTTTAAACAGTACTAAAATAACTTTTTTCTAAAATATGTGAATAATTATATGATATTCCGTCAATATACACAATGAATCAAATGCCTCTCAAATCTGTAAACATATTTTCCATTAAATATATATTAAGGACAGGAATGCATAATAAAATCGCAAACTTTTATTGAAAGGAAAATGTATTTCCTGTAAACCAATTGTAAGCAATTACTACCACTAAAATAGTTTAGTTTCTTATGACACTTCTCTTTGGATAAAGAGTTCAACAAAATTTGATTGTTGTTGAATACAAAAGTAAAGAATTAAATCAGAGAGAGAGAGAGAGAGAGAGAGAGAGAGAATCTTAAGATTATTACTAATATACTGTAAATAAGACAAGTACTGGTTATTCCCAGAATGGAGAAGAAGACAAGTTATTAGTGAAGACAAATAAAGGAGAGAGAGAGAGAGAGAGAGAGAGAGAGAATTGAATCTATAAATCTATTCATAAAAATTCAAAGGATATTCACTAATAATGAGCAACAAGTAGTTAAGGATCAAATATTTGACTGTAAAATGACAAGAAATATGCAGTAATATTGTAATTAAGCCATAATTATTGTAACTGTTATACAAATTATAATAATATTCTTTAGTGTTGACCAATGGATTTTGTTAAAATTAAAATATATAAGATTAGTGTAGTTGATTTATAAGACCAAATGAACATGGTCACATTTCCTATTCAATTATATGGCATTACAAATGAAAGGATGAACGACAGGAATCTCCAGTTTTATCACTGCATTGCGTTCTATGATTAAAGTGAAAGTCTATCCAAAAAGTTGGTGTCATTTTCTGTACAAACAATTTAATGACAATATTGTTGAAAACAAACATTAAGATAAATGTTTCATTTTATGTGCACTCTATGTATAATCAAATAGAAGGCAATGGTTTGCGACAACTATTGTATTAAATCCTTTGCTTAATAGTGAAAATGTTTTTTTCAAATAATTCAAGTCTTTAATACTAGACTTGCAAACAGTCTTTTGAGACCAAATAAGACATATCAAGTGAAATGTTCTCATTAAGGGTGTTGTCATATAACGATCGTTTCGTATCAAACAAATACAATTAATACTCATTTTATGCCTCATTTATTTAATTTAAATACTATAAAACTATTAGAGAGAGAGAGAGAGAGAGAGAGAGAGAGAGAGAGAGAGAATCTTAAGATTATTACTAATATACTGTACAATAATTGTGTAATTATGCATTTGTAATAAAATAAAAATAATAAAATAATCTATAATTTATAAATCATAATCAAAAGCAAATATGATTTATAATGTATGTATTTATAGTTACAGTAGTACAATTCTTTTAATTCTCCAAAATTAATTCAGGTCTTATTTTATATAAAAATTCTTTAAATCCTATATTTTAAAAAATGCTAAATATTTGGTCTAAAGTTTTAATTTTCAATATAAGTGACTTTTGTGTTGAAAATTGTAAAACTAATAGCAATTGGAAGAATGTATTGTCGGTCAATGCAATACAACCGTAAACTTACAACAAATTTACATTCAATTGATAATTATTTGAAATTCAATTGAGAAATATTCTGGATGTCTATATCGTGAAGAATATGTTGTTCTGCAACTGAAAAGTTGCCAAAATTGCACATTTGTTTGGTTTGCAAAAGCAATGGCAAACATCACAGCATTGATCTGCCTTTCATTTTTGACATTAAATTCATCCATTGTTTGGATTATATATTATAAACTATAAGAAAAAGACCGAAACCCCAACACCTGCTCCCATTCGCACCAATCAATCCAATCAATAAGAAATGCTTGCAATGCATGCAATGTCTAACAGTATATTCAATGTTTAAATACACCTGTTTTTGTGTGCTCTACACTCTCTATGGGTGCTATCGATACGTCGACTCAACATTAACTTTGTCTCCATTCAAATCACAATAAAATATTGAAAAACAAATAAAAGTGTCACTAAAGTGAAGAAAATCAAATTACGTGTATAGATAAATGATCAAAATGATCATTATAATTCTATTATAGACGCTGCAACACTCGCACTAAACACTGCAAACATTAACAGACATAAGCCATAAACACTGAAATACTGTACTTTGAGTTTAGTTATTGCAGAAAAGTTAACAAACAGTAAAATACTTACAAATTGTAAGTTACAATCGTTAGACATTTGTCACATTATTTAGAAATTTAAAAAGAAAGTAAGAATATTTAAAAGTATTTTATTAAATATATATTTACACTAATATCTCTAATATAGTATACTTTTACTACATAATAGACTAGTATAATACAAGATTGCTTGCGGAAAGTGCACTGATATCTAGATATAAACCTTGATAAAATATTAATTCTCACATTTAGAGACCTGACACTGATTTCCAATGAGTGAATCTTTTCTTAAAACTAGTAAATTAGTCTCATTTGTGCGGAAAGTGCTTTAAACGAGAAAATGTAGTGAATATAGGGTTTAAGAGTTTAGTCCAGTGATGTATTTGCTGTCATAAAACGTATGCCTAAATATTAAATGTGCAGTTCTTTGTGACATTGTTTGCTAATGTTTGTCAACCAATTTAGCTCTTTCTAACATTTTAATAATATTCTTAATAATATGTGTTAATTGTGTTGTAATGATTGCAACTATAGTGGACGTAATGCGGTAATGCGGGCGTAACTACTTATTACATGTGAACAAAATATTCAAACCTACTTAATATGCAATTAAAACCTTAAAACAATCGATTCTGTGATTAAAATATTCCATTGAGAGTCTCAAAGAGTTGATCCAAATGTATATTTTATATTCTTTTTAATTAAAATTGATTAAAATACAAATACATTCAATCATTCATTATAAAAGTTAAATTTATATTATATTCTTAATAGATGTTATTAATATATAACAGAATTAATAACAAGATTTATAACTAAATTAAACGCAAAAACATCTAGAAAATATTACTTTACAGTAAAATATGAATTAATATTTCATGCTATTTAACGAATATTTTTCAAATTTGTTATATACTGTATGTTATATAAAGTGGTATTTATTTGAACGGATTTTTGTAGTTTAGCCCAAAATATCGATTTATTGTTTAACTGAAATAAATTAGAGAAACAAAACTGAATGTCATTTTTCATTAACATTGAGATAAGCGTTAGTCAAAGCAAAGCCTCCGAAAGAGTGAACACCACTTATATTAAGAACAATTATTGATTGCTTTCTATTTAATTAATACTCAAAGTCTGAATACATTATGTTATAGTTATTTAAAACATAGCGTAAATATGCGCCCGTTTTTCCTTCACAATAACAGTTAACCTCATTATTATAAATACAAAGTCATAAAATTATTAGTTAATAAATATACATGTATGTTTTTATAAAGTATTTGCTCTGAAGTTATATTATAGTCATTTGAATTTAAGAACAGCCATAATATAGTGAATTAGTTTTTCTATTATGTTTTAATGTTGTTTTTTTAAATATTTTAAGTTTCACTAACAAATTGATGAATTAATAAACAAATTTTTCAAATTGATTTTAATACCAATTGTAAAATAGTAATTTAAAATCAATTCAACACTTAATCTAATCATTGTATTTATTTAGATTTATTTCAATATAAATTTTAATTTATAAAAACTTCAAGATTTGTAATTATCAAACAAAATTGGCATACAATTAATTTAATTACTTAAAATAAGTTTATAAAAGCTAATTGTAATTTACTTGAAAGCATCTATTTAAATAAAGAGTGAGTGAGTGAGTGAGTGAGAGAGAGAGAG